CAGTTACTCATGCTCCTTAAAATGAGAGACACTGTTATATTTTTGGAAAATTAATTGTTTATTTCTCAGTATCAGCTCAATTGCAGGATTAAATTAACAGTGAATTATCTGACTGAAATAAGTCTACCTTGGTAGCCTGGGGCCGAGCTGCAAAAATAAATGTGAATGTTGGTCTGAATTTTTAATATTTTCTTTATGTAAATCAGCTATTAAAATGTTGTTTTGTGTTCAAAACAGGGCTCCTTTTCACTAAAAAGTGAATGCCATTTGGTAATAATCTTAGAAGTCATGAAAACATTTTTAAAAATCAGGTTAAAAATATTGTTCTAATAAATTCAAGGCTCCTTTCTATAGTTAAGTTCCAGATGATAGTTTGGAGACAGATTCTTTTTAAGCAGTAGTAAAGAAAAAAAAGTAATTTTGAGTGGCTATGCCTTATGAGAAAGTTGTTTTAAAATAATCCTAACTTTTAAACATATACAAATGACTGTTTTTAAAAAATAGCATAAAACCAGAAAGGCTTAATGTTCTAGAAAGCATGCTTTTCTGAGATAGAGGATTTACTGTGTAGATATCTAGTCCTCCCCATTTTATAAAGTCTTAGACAAGCTAATCTTGATTTCTTGTTAAAAGATATAAAGTAAATTTACTGTCTGAGTAGGTTTTAATGGTCTAAACATTCAGATTTGATACTGGGGTTTTGGAGTAAAATAATTATCATCTTTCTAGAGATACTCCTATTAACTTCCTAGAAAACATTATCAATTACAGGAGACTATCTCTGACATTCTCATTCCCAAAAGTCCTAAGCCCTGAAGTTCTTTCCAATGGCCCGGCATCCTGGGAATTCACTTGATCTGCTGGGCAGAGACATTTCAAACTCGGGAACACATGATGAGAACTTTGTTTTATGTGTCCCAGAGATATGTAATTCTCTTTGGAGGTTTTACTTGATAATAGCTATGCCCCAGAAAACCATCTTGTTTAACCAATGTGATAAGTTGACAATGTAGTTTTTCTCTCTGATTATAATGTACTCTGTGTAGTCAATACACTGGTACCATGTGAGTGTAATTTCCTCTTTTATTTTATCTCCAATGCACTGTATTATAAATAAACAGTTAAAAAAAAACACTAAACAAATCTGTTGCATCTCCTTTTAAGATTGTACCACTGTAGACACTTGTTCTAGTAAAGTAGAATTGGGCACATTTGATTGCATTTAAATTTTTCATGCTTCAGCAGTTTGGCTGGGAGCACAGTAAAGAAAAATCCCATGAGCGAGGATCGTTTAGAATAATAGAACTTGATTTTGTGTATTATAGCGGCAACATTTGCGCTGCTTTAGTTAGGGTTGTGTCAGCACTTCCATTATAACCCCCTGTTTTCACGGGGTATAACTAGGGAGATTTTTTTAATACAAATTAAAAAAACAATTCATTTGAATGATTTTTAAGTTATAGTGCAAAAATAAAACAAAGTAAAGTCACATGGAAATTGACCATTTTTACAAGAATTTTGTTCTTTTTCCTATTAGTTATATATGGCAGCAGCTGAAGTAAGATACCATTCTAATGCATTGGGGGTGGGGGTGTGTGAAAGTTTTGTAATGGAAAATTACTGATATGAGCATGAAAAATAAAAGTAAGCACTGATGTGACAATGTAAAACATTAAAATGGGTGTATATTTGATTTATGACTTTCTAAAGGAGAGCAGCCATGGTGCAATGGTTATAGTAAAAGCATTACCAAGAGTCTTTGCAGCTTCTAGAATTCTGTGTAGTAACATATTTTAAAAGGGGAAGTTAAAGTAAAGAAATGAAATGAATAAGTATGTAATCAGTAAATTGCAGGACTCTTTAATAAAGTAATTGTGCAAAAAATAATCAGTAAATTGAATCAAATAATCAGTGAATCTGACTTATTTAATAAACTGTGCATTAAAATGAATTTGTGCACATTTTCCTTTTAAAAATGCAAAAAACCACCACTCCAAACAAAAACTACAACAAGACCAAATAAAAAACAAACCTGAAACAAGCCCAGCAATTTTGTCAAAAGGAAATGCCCAGAGTGGAGCAATAACTAGTTAAAAGAACAAAATCACCCTTTTCTCTGCTAACAACATAGTTGAGAACTATAGTAAATACAAGAAATTTAAGTAAAATATAGTATGGAAAAGTATTCTTCTTGTCATAAAAAAACTTAATTCCTTTGCTAAAGGCCAGGATTGCAAGTTGCGTATGCCTTCCTTGGTTATTAACCATTATTATCTTATCTTCCTCTCTCCTTGTCCCATAATGATGGTGTGAACTGAGGCTGAACAGTCAGATTTAATATCGCCATTTTTTTGGCAGCGTATCTTTTATTTGCAATCTTGATGCACATTCATATTTGTAGGTGCGAAATAAAAGACAAATCGTGTGATGTTATAAATAGGTAACTTTCCTGAATGGTCACTGGAGGAATCGCCACAAGGCTGTTGATGAAGTAGAGGTGAAGCCCTTCCTCACTAATTGTATTCAGCGTGTAATTTCTAAACTTCCCTCTGAATTTTGATTTTCAATTAACACTCCCCATTTGAAGATAATTTTCTATTTAATGTAATTGCAGGAAATAATTTATTGGCTGATTAAGACTGAGGGCCCAGCCTTCCTTAAGAAAACACTCTAACAAACCAGCCTTGAAACTCAACTCATGGCTTTGGACAGATTTAGTCTATTTTTACAGCTGCATGGTTGTGTTTAATTAGGATTGTGCACTATTGTTCATTGGTACAGTTTTGCAGTTGAAATTATTCTTAAGAGACTTTTGTGTTCTGTGTCATGATTAATTTATACTAAAGCAACAATCACAGATAATGCTATTGGAAGCAGCCAAGTCACTTTATAATAAGAGGATGTTTTTTGGGAAGCTAAAGTCCCTATGAGTTTTGGATTATGACTTTCAATTGTATTGAGCTGTTTTAAAAAGCAGCAGTAAATTCATTCTTTTGTTTTTAATGTGAATGATTACATTATTGGTACTGTCATTATCTGAACTATGAAAACATTCTTGTTGTTTATGGCAGGCTCTTGATAAACTTGCAGGACAATTATAATTTGCCTGTTTTTATGATAGTATTTATGAGGCCAATGAAATAAGCTCTAGAGTGATTCATGTAGACTAAGAAACATCCCTTGGTATCATTTTTCCTAAGTGTGTATACATAAGTCCATTTGTTACTATTTCTAGAAATTGGTCAAGAATATACTTATCTGATTCTTTGATATAGTGCTCTTTATAGCATTTTATTCTTCTCAAAGATAATATAGACATTCTTTTGTACTTCCTTTCACCATTGTATTTTCTAGAATCAAGTCTAATAGATGAAATTTTTATATTTGTAGAATGGTTATATGAGTAGGTATCAGCATTGTAATAGGTTTCAAAGCACTTCAAAAGCCTATAATACTTTTATTTAGAACTGTGCATAATTAGATTAGCTAATCTTATCTTAATTTTTTCACTGTAGGATACTAAATCTTAGCCCCCTCATTAATTGTGAGAAATTTAGCATTAGCTGTTAAATCCTATGTGAAACATGAGCTGCTACATAAAAACTACTGTTTAAATTGGAATTAACTTAATTATTTTTCTTTGCACTTGATATTTCCTTCACTGCAATATTCATGAAAGCATGTGACAGATTTGTAAATTTAACTGTTAATCTCAGATTTCTGGACCCTTTAATCAGTATTTATTTGTCTAGAAACAGTACTAGCAAGTTAATGATTTGCTAATTTGAAAAATGCTCATGTGGTTTCCTATGTTAACTGATTTGTGCATTTTTAAAAAAATGGTATGAAATCAATTAATGTTAAAAAGCAATTAAGGTGGAGATTTTATTCCTTTCGTTACACAGCAATTTTAGAGCTAATTATGCTATAAACTAAAAATGACAAAGTTTTAGAAAAGATGCCCAATTGCCTTTTATTTTATTTTAAAAACTTTTTGGCGGTTTTATTTCTAAACATTTTGCTAAGAAAATCATCTTGATAAAGTGATATTATAAGAGTTTTGAATTCTGTTTAGTAATAATGATTTTCTAGTTGTATATGGAAGCACAGAATGGAGACCTTATGCTGAATATAGTTTACTTACAGGTACATAGATGAATATTCAGTAATTGTTTGTGGAGTATTAAAAATATTATGCATTGTAGGCATTTTACTATTTTCATACTAATGCTTTGAATCTTGTATATACTTTCTAATAAAAAATAGTAGCATAGTTATTTCATATGCTCAATTCAAATGTTATAAAATTGCCTTAAGACTAATCTAATAGTATCAGCCATTCAATCAATATGTCACTTAAAAGCTAAATTACAGCAGTTGACACAGCTTGAAGGTCTTTAGAAAAGGATCACATTGACACTAAACAGTGTTAGGCCTAGCACTCAATACAAGGTGTAAACTCAGAAGTCAGGACCAAATTTGCCTAGACTTTCATCATAGATAACCTGCCTTTTTGGTTTTATTTTCTTCTTTTGTTCCGATGTAAAGCATAAGCAAAATTTGGATATATGTACTTTCAAATCCTTTTCCAAACTGGCTCATTTGCTAGTTCATTCATTCTTTCTTCTTCTTTTTTTTTCTCCATTGCTAGGCAAATCAACAAAATTACTCTCAAGAAGCTTATAATCTAGTTGGGATAACTGGGGGGAATTTACACACATACATATACTATACATATTATGAAAACTTATTCCATAAACACTTTATTTATGGATTGGTAAGAGAGAAAATATGCAGCAATCATCGGGAAGAGTTTTGCGAGTTAAAATCAAAGAGGAGAAGTGGAACAGATAAGCTGAGAGTTCTTTTTTAGTGGTTTAGAGTAGATGGTAAACATCTCTGAAGTTTGAGAATTTTTCTTTTTTCTGAAATAGTCAAATGTAAGGGATTTTTTTTCATGAACAGTCCTTTTTAATTCATGCTGTTTCCTTTTCCTGCAGAAGAATGTCTTCCAAGCAAGCCACCTCTCCATTTGCCTGTTCAGCTGATGGAGAGGAAGCGATGACCCAAGATTTGACCTCAAGGGAAAAGGAAGAGGGCAGTGATCAACATGTGGCCTCCCATCTGCCTCTGCACCCTATAATGCACAACAAACCTCACTCTGAGGAGCTACCAACACTTGTCAATACCATTCAACAAGATGCTGACTGGGACAGCATTCTGTCGTCTCAGCAAAGAATGGTGAGCTTTTAAAATCTGGCCCCTGTTGCTAAGTGTGTCCATTAGTATGGCCTCATTACAAACAGGTGTTTTAGAGAAACCTCAAAATACATATCATTACAGTTCATTCTGTTCAGATCATAAAACAACAACCATATATATTATTAATATTACTCTTACTTGGGAAAATTGGAAAATGGTTTCTGATTTAGTTTTTATCCATTAGTAGATCACCTTGCCAAAAAATATTTAATTTGGGGGAAGATTTGGTTGTCATATTCTCTGAACCTCTGAATTTAAGGTGATGGAATTGATAATACCACAAAATAGGTATGATCAAATGAAGTGTGGCTATGTATTAATATGAAAAAATTATATTAAGCAAACATGTCTAGGGGAATGAGATTATATGGAAAATACATCTTCAGTGAGGAAGTGCAGGTATTTATCATTTTTTACAGTAAGTTTTGATTTGTAATTAAGATTTTTCTCACTTAAATGCCTATAGATTAATTTCAAAAGGACATACAAAGCTTCTGAGTATCATTGCATCAGACTATAGAAGTTTTCTGTAAAGGTAGAAACACCAACATCAAATACATGTAGTGTGTTAGCCAGCTTTCTCATGTTAAATTCCATCATTAACCATCAAAACAGATCCATAGCAAGTAACATTAGTTGTCTAATTTACAGCAAATATACTTATTTTTTTTAGCATCTAGAATTGACCAAAATCTTAACATATTTTATTTGATTAGGAATTTTAAAATTTGTTTTATATATCTTAACTTTTGCTTAAGTTAATGCAAAGTATTTTAAGTGGGCAGTTAGGAAAAGTTTTATTCCTTAATTAAAAAACAAGATAATATTTTTATCTTATTTTTGCCTTTACTACTAATAACATATATTTAAATTCTTGCCCTATGCTTAATGTCTCAGAACCAATTTAAAGATCTGATTTTATAATTTGTGGATGCATACACTTCTTTTTTAGATGATTTTGTAGCATAACTAGTGCTCTGGAGCAGTAGGTAAGATGTAGGGGTTTGGAAGAAAAACAAGACTTTTCTATACTCACTTTAGATAAGGGTATCATAATTTTATAATTAGATAGAATCACTGGAAGATTTCTTTTCCTTGAATAGGGAGAACAGAGAAGGTATGATAAAGCAAGACTAAAAGTCCGTTTTTCTGCTTGATCTTGAGTGCTTCATTTTATACCTTCAAGATAGCATGGGTGAAATAGATATTCAGTCATTGCCACTAGCTTTTGGCAAGATATTAGGGCTATGTTTTATTTTTGTTTCAACAAATATTTATATAACACCTTCTCTGAGCACAGCATTCTACTTGGTGCTGGTGAGCAAAACTTACATGAATATGCCTTCATGGAATTTATATCAAGGAGAGGGAACAAAAATAAATATATAATTAAGATTGTGATATGTGTTATATGCACGTATGCATACCCCATGGACATAGACAGTGGTATAGGGAAGGCCTGGGGTGGCTCTGGCTGGGTAGAGGGGGTAAATAGGAATAAAATGGAGGACATTTGTAATACTGTCAACAATAAATTTAAAAAGTTGTGATATGTGTTAGGAAGAAAAATAACAGAATGTTATGTGAGAACATAATGAAATAAACTTCATTTAGAATGGATAGATAAGAATGTCCTTGCTGACCTAAGGATAGGAGGAACTAGTCAGGCAAAGAATAAAAGAACGAGTAAAAATAGCAGAGGGAATAACATGTATGAAATATTTGAGGTGAGAAAAATATAGCTGAGTTTCAGGAAATTCAAGGTAGTCTTCGTGGCTGGAGTGTAATAAGTAAGGATGCAATGTAGCACCAGATCTGGTTGAAGAGATTGGTAGGGGCTATATCCAACAATACCTGGTAGATAACACTGTAAGTGAGATTTGATTCTAAGTGCAATGGAAAGGCATTGAAGGGTTTAAGAATATTTCAAGCAGATAATTCTAGCTGTAGTATGAATGGATGGGAGTGAGATCTGTTGGGAGGCTATTTAAGAAATCCAGGTAAGAGATGATAGTGGCTTGGATTAGGCCAATGGGATAGAGATAGATATTTGCTTTTTTGCCAAATATAGCTATGGACATATAAATAATTACATTGGAATATGTAGGTTGAATCAGAAATAATATAGTTCAAAATTTATTTTTTCAGAGAACACTTTGCTTATTTTTCTCAGTTAAATTTTGTGTGTATCTTGGCAAGTACCAAATTGCTTTAGCGAGTTATTCTCAAAGTTTTATGATCTAAAATTTTGTTAGAAAATAGATATTAATAATGTGCTGAGCAAATTATACTAAGTGGAATTTATGGTAGTATAAAATAGTTTAAATTTACAAATATATGTTATATGTTAGTCTAAAAGAAATCATCCTTGTTTTCAAACTTTCTCTTTTGATATCAAGAATTGCTTTCCACTGGACCTTTTGTGTATTCTGAATTTCTAGAAGCCAAAACATTTTGTTTTAATTCCCACTCTATAGTATTTCCCAGCTGTGTACGTCTATGGTATAGTAAAAGGATTTAACAAATGGGAAATAGCAGCTGCATTTGGAAATCCCCTTTGTGCTCCCTTTTCATTCAATGGATTCAATACTGTGTAAGAACTGTAACATCAGACCTGTAATGACTTATATTGCAAGTATTATATCACCAAACAACTTTTTTTTTACAGGAAAGAAAAACAATAGAAGGATTTTAGGTTTCTGGGCAGTCCTGCAAATCTACATTCTCATTCTCATTCTCTCTCTCTCTCTCTCTCTCTCTTTCTCTGTAAAGTGTTGGGGTGGAGGGATTGTGATGAAAGTAAAATTTAGTAAATATTTTTTACCACATTCTACTTTCAAGTAAATTTAAAGTCCAAAAGGATTGTTATGAAGTTAAATGAAACTTGTAGTTCTCCTCCATGGATCATATCTGTTACTGACTGTAATTGAACCCCATAAAATAGTTGTGGGGAAGTAAAATTTAAAAGAAAATCTAAAAATCAACAAAAATCCTATTAGCACCTATTTGGTTTCCATTGCTATTTAGTTTCTGTGACAGTCCTCACTCACTCACAGTTAGAAACAGGCACTAAAAAGTTTCTTATCTACTGGGTTCAGCAAGCGTTTAAATTGAAATATCAAGACCACAGGAGCTTTTCTGTAGAGGAAAGACAAAGCAGAGAAGTTCTGCTAACCCCCACTTCCTGATCAGAAAAAAAATCTTTAAATGTTAAAATTCTGATTATTTATTTTGAGGTGGAACTATAGTAAAATATGAGAGACCACACAGTTCCAAACAAAGAAAATAATTCATGGCATAAGTAAAGAAGGGGAATAGAAATTTTAGAGATTGGAATTCAAAGATCAGTTTCAGATAAAAAAAGTTTTAGACTCCACTGTTCATTACATTTACTTATATTATGCATACAAACTGTTTAATTTTAAATTTAGACTTCTGTGTTAATTGGTATGATCCATTTGAAGGCTAACAGGTTAGTGTAAACGAGGCTTCACTGTCCTTGGTTGCTATGTACAATTACTACTCTTTTCATTATGATGTCAGTGTACCAGCACCTTTTTTTGTGGAGGAATATTGATTGTCCCCTGAAATATGTTTTTGTTTCCATTAGGACTGATTCATTAGTAGGAATAAATTCACATAATTTTTTTATGAAAACATGTATCACGTATTATTCTTTTTTAATGTTAACAAGCATGGAGGAACATTTTGTGGTAGTGTTTAGTGACTGGCATATGATACTATGCTGTAATGATTATCTGCTAAAGATTACTTGAGTATATAGGACCTACTAAGTTTCAGGGGCAGGGACTTTCTTTTAAATAATACAGATGATTTCTCTACTATCATGGAAATTAGATTCTAGGAGTGTGGCAGACAAAGTTCCACAGAGTGAGACAATTTCAGACAATAATAAGTACAATGAAGAAAATTAAATAAGAAAATGTGATTGTGATGACTATTTATTTATTTATTTATTTTTCCTTTATTGATTAAGGTATTACAAATTCATCCTTATCTCCCTTTTATCCCCCCACCCCCCACTCATGCCCTCTGAGATGACTACTTTTAACAGTCCAGGGAAGGTCTTTTTGAAGAGGTGACATGTGAGTTGAGATGGGAATAACGAGAATGAACTAGCTCTGCAAAAATTTGGAGTAAGTACAAGAGCTGCTTGGTGGTGTGTTTGAGCAACAGAATACAACAGAGTAGCTGGAGTGGAATGGATGAGGGAGAGAACAGTATGAGAGAAAATCAAGGAGGCAGGCAGGCAGATGGCAGATACTATGGGGTATCATATTCTGCAGTGAGGTGTTTGGACTTTACTTCAAGTGCAAGAGGAAGCCACTGGAAGATTTTAAGTGAGACTAACATGATTTGATTTCTGTGTTTAAAATATCACATTGGCTGCTGTGTAGAGAATGGATTGTAAGAGGCAACACCAGAAACAAGGACACTTATTAGGAAAACTATTGCAGTAGTGCAGGTGAGAGTTTGATGCTCAGTGGAAGAGTGAACAGTTCTTTGAGGAGGTCCCATAGATTCTGAAGAAGATTCACACAGAGGGCGAGGAGACTATTTTAAGTAATGTGCATGTGGGCAGAACTTTAGTCAATAGTGAACAGGACATGAAGTTGCAGGGAGAGTGAGGAGGGTAGGCTTGCTCCTGGACAGAGAATAGTCCCATGTGAGGACAGAAGTCTTTTGCCTAAGAGTGAACTGTCTGCAAGTGACTTCTGGGGTAGGACTTGGGGATCTGGGTAATGCACCAACAGTATCTCTTAAAAGATTTTAAAAGTTATCCCTCTCCCTTCCTCTCTATAAAAAAAACAATAAATATATTTTTAAAAAATAAATAAATAAAAAAAAAGATTTTAAAAGTGACAAGATTGTAAGTGGGGCATTCTCTACACATGTGTACATGTGCACTTACATGCCTGCTTATATTGATATATATTTTAAGCCAAAATGGGATTATA